GCAGTTCCTCAGTAAATTAAACATAGAATTACAAGACAGCAATACACTCCTAGATATATATCCCAAAGAATTTAAAACGGATCTTCAAACAAAAAATTGTACACACACATTCCTAACAGTACTATCTATAACAGCCAAACAAGGAAATAACCTAAATGTTTTTATCAACAGATGAACTGAAAAATGAATATGATATATCTATATAATGGGATATTATTCAGCCATAAAAAAGGAGTAAGTACTGATACTATAACATGGATGAATCCTGAAAACATGATGCTAAGTTACAAAAGGGTATGTATTGTGTGATTCCATTCCTATGAAATGTCCACAACAAATGAATCCAGAGAGACAGAAAGTATATTAGTGATTATCAGTGGCTAGGAGGGAGAATAAGGGGTAAGGAATGGGTACAGGATTTCTTTTAGGGTGATGAAAACATTTTATAATTATATAGTGGTGATGATTACACAATCTTGTGGATATACTAAAAACTAATGAATTATTAAATTTAAAAGAGTGAATTTTATGGTATGTGACTTATATCTTAATAAATTATATCTTAATAAATAAGTTATTTAAAAATGAAACAAAAATTACTGGCTAAGATCCATAAGTTAATTTTATTAAATGATCTCTGATAGCTTCTGGATTTTATAAACATTAAATTTTAGGCCTGGGGTTTAGCTCAGCGGTAGAGCACTTATCTAGCCTGCACAAGGTCCTAGGTTTGATCCCCAGTACCCCAAAATAAGTTAATTTTATTTAAACTTGCAGTCTGTCACTTGCTTACATATTTTTTTTTTCATCTAATCCTCAAGAAAATCCTGAAAATCAGAAAAATTAAGCAATATGCCCAAGGTCAGTGGTTATTAAGTGATGATTAAGTATATATTTAAACACAGTTCTGTCTCTTATATTACTGCAATTGCGAATATGCAATTATGTCAAGTATTTTTAACATGCCATAAAATAATGAAGCAAGCCTTTGCTAGAGGGAAAAAGTTAAAAATTATTATTACTTAAAATTATTATTACTTATAATTACTTTATTAGTGGAATGAAGTTTTGATATATTGTGTCAAAGAATGAATGATGTAGCAGTGTCTATATATATTTAACAACAAAAATGTACATGACTACACACATATTCCAATGCACTTTTTAATATTTGCTTTAGGTTAGCTCTGATTTTTAGCAATTTGACTAAATCAGAAAATTCTCAAATGGCCCCAAAACTTTAAACATCAACCTAGTACCAACAGGTTTAATCATTTTACTTCCAAGAAAAAAAAAATAATGGCTGAAATAATGGCTAATAAAGTCTGTTTAGATCTAACTATATCAGTTAAGCAGAAATTTGATAGTGAAAATAATTTTCCCAGAAGTAGGCTAAAATGACTGTCAAGATTTACTGGCCTTGGAATTTTATTTGTTGGCTTTAAATACATTTTCTTTATTAAAAAAATTTATATGAATGCAGTGGCTTACACCTCTAATCTCAGCTACTCAGGAGGTGATGAGGAAGGTCTCGGTTCAAAGCCAGCCCCTGGCAAAAAGTTAGTCAAGACCCCATCTCAACCAATAAAAGAGGGTATGGTGCCTCGAGTCTGTCATCTCAGCTATGTGGGAAATAGGAGGATGATAGCCCAGGCCAACCCAGGCATAAACACAAGACCCTATTGGAAAAATAACTAAAAGCAAAAAGGGCTCAAGCAGTATAGCACCTGCCTAGCAAGCACAAGGCCCTGAGTTCAAACCCTAGTTACACACACACACACACAAAGTATCACAATCAGAGAAAATTCCTGTACATCCCATGGACAATCAAAAGTCAGTTAATGTCAGAAAGAAATGTGCAAGAGATGTTTCAATTTTAATTGTCAATACTCTTTTGAGTTAATAGTTTGAATATTCAGAGACATTTGGCAAAATACAAAGACACTAATTAACATCAAAACATGCTATTATTAATATTATGGAAATGTTTCATTCTTTTTATTCAGCCTAGTTTTCTTCCCATTTGTGTGTCTTATTTTTTTCACAATAAAGTATCTGGTGTAAATTAGAAGCCCCTAATCACAAATTTCAAGAGTTTCCTTATTAAACATAAAACAGCTAACCATGGGTGTGTATATCCTTTCTAGATGTCTCTTTAAAAGCATAACATTATATAATCACATACATAAAATGGACAGCAGTCCTCCTTAGCTTATTCCCTATAAACATCCTGTTTATTATATTTACTTGTCCATGTCCCTGTCCCCAAATGCTTACCTATGAGACAAAAACAGTGAAATCTAAAACCTGAAAATTACCCTATCTTTTCATCCCACTTTAATCTGCATTTTTCTTTTTTCAGGATTTCTTTTACAAAGTAGTTTGCTTTAAGTATGAAAGAGAATAAAGACAATACTTTATTTGTAATAAAGCAAGGTTTAAAACCAATGCCAATTTTAAGGAAGTCTCCTTAACATATTAAAATTTCTGTAATTTATAATTAGTATTCATTTGAAATTAAGTTCTCAAATCACTACTTTCTAATATTTGATAAGATTCTAACTGCTTTTAAACAAAATTCAGTTTACCCTAAGTATTTTCTATCAATTCCAGTTTTGTGCTTTTACAATACATATAATAATAGACAAATTTACAAATACTTTCATTAAAAACCACACACAGTTAAAGTATCTAATCTTTTCAGTCACAGTTTAAATTCTTAGAGTGCTTTACTCACAGATAAAAAAATTTACAAATACTTTCATTAAAAACCACACACAAAGTATCTAATCTTTTCAGTCACAGTTTAAATTCTTAGAATGCTTTACTCACAGATAAATGATGTATCATTTAGAAACTGAAGGCTCCCTCTCAAAGAAATAAATCAGTTGTCCCATCTTTCCATCACTTAAAGCCAGCAGCAGTTGTTGCTGCTGGCTATGAAAAAGGCTGAGAGGCTGTCTCCTGGTCATGTGTGTTAATAAAAATACTGGCAAGGAGACACTACAATTTTAAGGGAGTACTATTGTAGTTTGATGTGTTAGCAGATTATGAATAGGAAAAAATGTTTGGTAGAAGCTGTTACACTTTATTTTAAATGAAAACTTAAAACTGCATCTAAAAACAGGCTATAAATGACAATTTACAACTCATGCTAGTTTCTCATGTTTCCTATCATTAACAGACACTTGCACTGAATGCATTAACACTAAATCTTTCACTTATTTCTCTCCAAGAAATGAATTTCAGATACCTGGTACTACATTTCAAATTACTCTAAAATATGTAAAACAATCTTATGTTCAAGGACCACACAAAAATATGAGCCAGGTGCCAATGGCTCACCTGTAATCCTAGCTACTCAGGAGGCAGAGATCAGGAGGATCATGGTTCAAAGCCGGCCCTGGCAAATGGTTCGGGAGACCCTATCTGGAAAAATCCTTCACAAACAAGGGCTGGTGGAGTGGCTCAAGGTGTAGGTCCTGAGTTCAAGTCCCAGTTCCACCAAAAAAAAAACTTAGGAAAACCACAGTGGATTACAACTTGGAAGAAAATACAGCTGTCCTTTAAACTTGCAGAAAAGTCAGCAACAGACAAACAGAAGAGAAAACAGTGGGACCTGGGAATGTAGTTTAGTGGCAGAGTATTTGCCTAGCCTGTGTGAAGCCCTGGCTTTCTATCCCCAGCACAAAGGAGGAGAAAGAGGAAGAAGAGGAGGTAGTGGAGGAAGAGGAAGAAGAAAAGGAAGAAGAAAAAGGGAAAGAGGAAAAGCAGCAGAACCTAGGAGCTCACTAGAAAGGCTGGGGTAGAAAGATCACTTGAGCTCAAGAAGGAATTCGAGATTAGTCTGGGCAACACAATAAAAACCTGGTTCAAAAATTTTTTTAAAAAGCTGGATATGGTGGTATACACCTGGAATCCCAGCACTCAGGGAGCTGAGGCAAAAAGATTGTTAGTTCTAACCCAGCTTGGGCAACATAGTGAAACCCTGTATCAAAAAAAAGGAAAATTTAAAAATAAATAGGAAAAGCAAATGAATGAATGAATGATCTTGTTTATGGTGCTCCAGTAAAACTAAACCAAAACCAAATAAATAAATAAATAAATAAATAAAACAATATTTCCTCTAAGCTAAAGCTGTATTTTTTTAACTAGGTTATATAAATAATAACTATTAGGTAAACATTTATGCCTGGTTCTAAATAATACAAGTAGACAAATACATTAATCTTAAGAAATTTAAACAGAAAAACAGAAGAATTAATCCAGGCTGGATATATTATAATACAAACTTTCTTAAAGAATATTTACAGAATATTATAGGGTGGAAAGGAAAAAAAGGAAGGAAAGAGTGGTAGAAAATGAAGAGGTAGTATGAACCAATTGGGAACAAAGTATTTCTACTCTAATAAAACCCTGAGGAAAAAAGTGCATTAAAGTTTCCTCATATAAATGTATTAAATCTGTCATCTTTTGGTTTTTACTGTAATTAGAACACTTGCAGGCATCTGGCAGACTTTACTACCCTTGAGCACATTATCTATAGTTTCTTAAAACATTTGAAATGTGGGGCAGCACCTATTTATCTTAATGATGGTTATTAAAGAAACAGATTTTAAGATGAAGTTAATAATTTCACTACTATTTTACAAACCTTAAGAAAATTAGAAATTCAAAATCTGACAATTATTTTCAATTAATTTTGTTATAAAATTTTTCAAATTTGATATAAAGATGAATTTCAAAACTTTCAATGTTAGGCCACATATAAAACTTTCTATACTTTAAAAACATTTTGTAGTAACTGAACAATGAAGCCACATGTTTTCATTCTTCCTGACTTAAAAGTAAACAATGATAGTTATTTGGCCTTTCCAAGAAAAGAACTGGTCTTGGTTTGGAATTTGAGTTGCTTCTACTTATATGGTCCTTTCCATACACATTTATATTAAGGCATACAAAAAATAAAGATAAGCCTTTTTTATTCCATTTTTACTTACCTAGTATTTTCACAGCATAATGAGGACTTTCTAAGACAATTCCTTCTTCTGTATCAAATATAGGGTTATCTATTCCAGTCTTTGGAGGAATTTGGGCTAGTTTCTTAAGTCTCATGGAAGAATTAAGGTCAAGTTCTTGCTTTTTCCCTTCTTCTTCTCGCCTACGTCTCATATCCTCCTGTTGCTGTCGAATACGCTCCAACTGCGCACTTCGTCGCATTGGCATCATCCTGGTGCCCAAATCTCCAGGGCAGTCAACAGCCATCTCTCGGTGCTTCTGATGTTCCTCTGGTGATGCAAGATCAACATTTTTTACTTCGATGTCTGACTCCTCTGTAACATGCCCATTCATATGGGATGTTGTCATGGTTATCTACAAAAACCTGTACCACTTTATATAAATCAATTTTTCCTATAAAGCCAATTCTCTTGATTCTGTAGTATAAAATCCATGTTACTTCAAAAAAAAAAAAAAAACAACTTCTCATATCACATAAAATGCTATGAAAAAGTATCCATGAGGGAAATCTAAGGGGAAAAATGGGGGGAAAAAAATATAAGAATTACAACATAAATGCACTTTCCATAGCCCACTTCTAATCTCCACACAATACAGAAAATATCTAATAAGTATATCCGATAATTTTGCTATGCAGATTAAGTATATGTCTTTCATTTTATAGATAATGCTGAGAAAATCAAGGTATTTCAAAAACAAAAACCCGAAAGTCCCCTCTCAAGAATTTTAGGCATACTATTCAATTTTATAGCTAAGAAAAGTGATACATTAGAAAGTTTAGCCAAGTGGGAAAGTAAAAAGTTTGGGGTTCTAATTTATGGAAAACAGGTGCTTAAATTAGCTCTTTAAAACTGACAGAGCAATTGATGGCATCCATCTGGTACATAGCAAGCCATGCTGGCCGCTGACTTTGAAATACAGGAAGTATTTTAAGGGAAAATTAATTTATCTTTAGGAGGCTTTGAGATGAGTAAGATACCCAAAGAACAAAAAACTTTATCAGGAAAACATCTAAGGATAAAACTACATATGAAAAGCAATATGTAGATTATCAGTCTTTGTAATTGGTATCATCTATTTAAATAATTAAGATGTATTCTTTATAAGGATTCATTGTGACAAAATGATACTGACAAAATGTGGCACTAGGGCTTGAAATCAGGGCCTACAACCTTGAGCCACTCCACCAGCCCTTTTTTATGATGGGTTTATTCAAGATAGGGTCTTGCAAACTATTTGTCCTGGCTGACAAAAACAAACAAACATGGAGACAAGAAATCTGAAATTTCATTTTGGCTCTGCTACTTCCCTTAGCTTTATCATTTAAGACCTGTTTCTCTCTCTGAACCTCAGATTCACTTAGAAAATTTATTACTAGGGTTGTTCTGCATTTTAAGTAAAATAATGTATGCAAGTTATAAAGTGAATATATATGTACTTACTAATTTTTAGTATTAATTTGATTCTCTTAAAAATCCTCCACATTTTTTTAGAAAAATATTTTCCTGGATGGCTCTGGCTTTTCTTCAAGCTATTTCTTAGGCATAAATGGGCAGATTGTTTACATTTGCAAACCCACACACTAAATCTAATTAGTCTTCTTCTACTCATGCTTTAAAAATATTTACAATAATAAACTTATTACCTCCTTGAGTTGAGCACCATTAAGTAAATAAGGTAGTTAGAGCACAATGCTGACTAAGCAAAATCCCAATGCCAATCTTTCAAATGTAAACTCACAGTCAAAATGGGGACAGAAGACAAATGCTTCATACTAAATACAAACCTATGTAGGCTAACAGGAAAATCACTAAATACAACAATCAGAACAATAGATATAAACTGTTTTCATGGCCAGGTGTTGCAGATCAACATATAATCCTAGCTACTCGGGAGACAGAGACTGAGAGGATCATAGTTTGAGGCAATTAGGGAGGAGTTTTCAAGACCTCATCTTAACCAATGGCCTGGTGGTGCACACCTATTATCCCAGCTAGCGGGGAGGCACAAATAGGAGGATTGCAGTGCAGGCCAGCCTGGGCATATGAAGTACCCTATCTCAAAAATAATCAATGCAATAAGGGCTGGGAGTGGCTCAAGTGGTAAAGTACCTGCCTGGCAAGCATGAAATCCTTGTTCAACCCTTTTTAAAACCTGTAAAAAATTATATTTTCACAAGAATTCTGGGAGACTGTCTTCTACCCAAATTTTAGTTCATTTATAACCACATAACCTACATAAGTACCTTACTTACCAGTAGTTTGCCTTTTTTTCATTAAAATGAGAGCTATTAGATTTATGTTAAGTGATTAAGCTTTATATGTTGATTATAAACAAATGCAAATCCAGCTTATTTAATGTTTTCATTACAAGTAAGCAGAAATTTGTGTAGGAGTTACTGTAGTGTTAAAATCTAGGAAAGTACGTATTTTGAAAAAATTAACTCTCAATCTTCTTTATTTACAATTATTAGATACTAAAAAATCAAATTTAATAAAGACTAATTATTTTAAAACTTAATACATATGCTAGTCTACAAAAATTAGGACTGGAAATTAAAATAGCTTAAAAACATTTAAGAATGTGTGCATATTACTATACTAAACTATGAGAGAAAATTATATATCATGCATGTGAGACTGGGTCAGAACTCTCATGCTTGGGCTACTGTCATCATGCTTATCTATCTATCTGGATCCAGTCTTTTACCCTCTGCAACCTGTATTAATCCACTTAAAATTCCATGTTGGTTATCTCCCTTGGAGTGTTAGGTCTAGTGGAGGAGAAAGTAAAGAAAGTAAATGATTCTTCTTCTCTAGCTGATCTCTCCTCATCAGATTTCAAATGTGTTAGTGACATAGGTCATGTCTTATTTTTATACTCTCAGTACTTAGCACAATACATATCATATAGAAAATACCCGAGAAATATCTGTTCAATTAAACTTGGACTATTACATATTCAAAGATGATACACAGATGTCTAGAACTTAGTCTGTAGTAAAAAGTGACAGAAAACACTGAAAACAAGGATGTATTTTTCTGTTCTGCATTTCAAAGGGCAACGAAAAACCAGCCTCATAGAAGATGGGTCTGTTTTAGACAGATGGAATCACATGATCAATAGGAAGGAATAGTCTGAGAGAATGGCACCTTCAGAAAACAATATAATGCAGCAAAGCTGGATGGGACAATGAGAACATGTCCTACACAAATAACCACAGAACTGGGAAGGCAACAGGAGGCTAGACTGAGAAGAGTTTCCAAAGAACTTCACCCAGAAAGTAGTAAGACTCATAAAAGGACTTTAAGCAGGGACGATAGCAATCACATTCAGTTTTATAGAAATATTACTTCCGTAGAAGTATAGAGGATCGACTAAATGATGGCAATGAGACCAATTTGAAAGCACTTGTAAGAAAGGGAGTCCTGAACTAAGACAGTGAGAATGAAGAAAAGTTATCCTCAAGGAACTTGGTAGGTTACTGCTGGCAGGGTGGCTCAAGTGGTAAGAGTGCCTGCCAAGGCCCTGAGTTCAATCCCCATGATTGCCAAAAAAATGCTTTTAAAATAAATAAAAATTAATGTACATTTAAAAAGTAAATATGTAGGATCAGTGGAACTTGGTGTCTGTTTCATATATTAGGGCAAAAAGAGAAGAGTAGAAAAGAGGTAAAGGACTGCTTTATGTGCCAGACAATACAGTAGTCCTCTCCTTATTCAGCTTTGCTTTCTGCAGTTTCACTTTTTGTTTTTGTTACCTGCAGCCTGAATATATCAAAGGGAAAATTACAGAAATAATACATAAATTTTAAATGGAATGCTAGTCTGAGTAGTATGATGAAATCTTGTGCCAACTTGCTCTATTTTGCCTAGAATGTAAGTCATACTTTTGTTCAGCGTATTCATACTCTATGTACACCACTCGCCATTACCACTAGTAGATATAGGGAAAAAAACAGCACATATGGGCTTTGATACCATCCTTGGTTTCAGGCATCCACTGTGGGGTTGGAGAATGGATCCCCAGGGATAAGCAGAGACTATTGTACTGAAAGCACTTCACACAATGTTCACTCATCTAATGCTGCTGACAACTCTAAACATAGGTCAAAGTACTGCCCATTTTGTAAATGAGGAATAGGAATTGAAGTAAGCCTTGAAGACAAGATGGAAGAATAAAGCAGGGCCATTTGAACCAAGGCAGGAAGATAAAAGACAAGGAGAAAAATACAAATAAGGCTAGTTAACGAAAACAGGTAGAAGACTAGTGGAAGATATAACTAGAAAGTATGACTGGGTCCAGCTTATGAAATGTCTTAAATATAAATCCTTAATTCTGAAGGCAGGAAGAGAACCATTAAAAGTTTAGCAATGAGGACTGATTTATACATAAATTTAATTGAACATTTACCCTTGCTAGGGTTCTAGAGGCAAGATCCCTGCCCATTATGGTATCTATCAAAATTTCCATCAGGGATTTAGAAATTAACATGTCCAAAATTAAACCCGTGCTTCCCTTTACCCCACTCTCTCTTTGATCGTCTTCATTTCCAATTCTAATTGATGTCACTATACCCATCCAGTTACTCAGGATAGTATAATGCTTAGGTAAACAGCTTCCAGATTGAGATTCCTAGGATCTAGTCTTTGCCTGCTCTCCTTTTAAGTCTTAGCTCAACTATATCCTAGTGTGGAATCCTATAATCCACATCACATTCTTGGGTTAAACAGATTGCAACTATCTTTGACTTTCTGTTCTATCAGTCTAGAAGCTCCTTGAGGTCAGGAACCAAGCTGACTCATCTCTAGATCCATGACTTGCACAGTACTGGACCAAGGAAACACTAGGCTTCAGAATATGAACCCAGGCAATGTAACCCCAGTTCCATAACTCTTGACCATTACCCTTGCTTGGGTCACTAGGTAGATGCCAATATTATTAACTATGTTGGAAAAACATAAAGAGAATCAGACAGAAAGGAAGAGAAATGAAAGGGAAATATTAATTTTAGTTTCAGACATGTTAACTTCAAGGTGACTAAAGATCACACAGGTAATCAATCTAACTGACAGGGGTCTGTGTTGTTCATCTGTATAGCCATGACACCTAGTAAGGGATAAATACTTTAACAAGTATTACTTGTTAAGCATCTACTTAATACTTTAAGTAGATAAGCAAAGCATTCCTCTTTTCAGAACCTCTGATGGTTTTCAATACTATCTAGAGAAAAAAGTCCAGTCTCACATAGTGAATCCAACTTTTCTGTCTTCTACTACTCTCCTGCATGAGCCTTTTCATTTAACCTCCTTATTTGTACTTACCAATCTCTTTTTCCTTCCTGCCCAAATACTTATGAACTATCCCTCCTTCTGCCTTCAAGACCTACGTCAAGGAGCAACACATGGAGGTTCACACCTCTAATCCCAGCTACTAAGGAGGCAGTGATCAGGAGGATCATGGTTTGAGGCCAGCCTGGGCATAAAGTTAGTGAGCCCTCATCTCAACCAATAGGCTGGGCATGATGGTTCATGCCTGTCATCCCAGTTACAGAGGAGGCATAGGTAGGAAGATCATAGTCCAGGCTGGCCCAAGGAGAAATGCAAGACCATATCTGAAAATACCAAAAGCAAAAAGGGCTGGGAGCATGGATCAAGTGGTAGAGCACTTGTCTAGGAAACTCAAAGTCCTGAATTCAAACCCCAGTGTCTCTAGCTCCTTCAAATCTTTCCAGATGTCCTTGATTAAATAACAACTCACTACAGAACAATCCAAAGGACTCTATCATGTTCACAAGTTAATACATAAGGACCATGAAAGTTCTTAAAGTTCTTCCAGAATAAAAATTACATTTACATTATGCTGTGTCCCATCATTTCAGCATTAAGTTCATCATAATTTTTAAGCAGCCAATATCCGAATAGTCTAGTATATCCTAACAATAATTTTACATGTGGATGGTACATGAGTTATACCTTCTCATCAGAATGCCTGCTCCTATTTCTTCCAGAAAGCAAAAATAATAAAAATGTTAAAATCTTTACATCATTCACAAAGCAAGAAAATAAATTTTCAGTTGTCAGGCCAAAGTTGTTTCAATGCTAACCTCAAACAAAAGGGGAAGCAATGACTTTGCTTATGTGAATTGGCTACGGGAAGCAGGTAAAAAGAAGCTAAATAAACTTCAACAAGTGCAATTGAATGAGACTGGGGAAACTGAAATAACCTTTCAGGTATAGGCCCACTGAAAACAGTACCAAGAAACAGAACCATTTATGTTAAGAGTTGAGAAACAAGACAGGTTAGCAGGAAAACAATTTCCTATGTAATGTGTATCCTAAGTTTTAGGCAGAGGGAGACAATAGATACATACTTCATAGCATAAACATGTTTATAGTCTACACTAGTGTCCAGAATTCTAAAATTTTTTTCAATTCATCCTTCCTCCCTTTCTCCAGCAAGTAATGCCCTTTGACCAGCAGCTGGGAAGTCTCAATTTAAGTAATCAGCATTCCTCTGACATTCTAAGAGGTTGAACTATTTGTTTCCATAGAAACAGCTTTGTCAGCTAACACAGGATTCAGGCCAAGAATAGTGAAAAGAACTTACATTATGCAAACTGGAAAAACCTTGTCTTCTATCCTTAGTTTCTCTTGTCTGGTTTTTCACAAAATTCAAGCTAACTTTCTTACTCTGCAAAATAGAAAAATAAGATGATGATTAATCAAGTGTAAAAAGTCTAGTGTTTTTTAGGAAGGTGGGAAGGAGAGAAAGGTTACTTTAATATGATATCCAATACTTTTTTGCAGATAGCTAGGACTTCTTAGTACAAAGTTGTAAAAATGCACCACCATCAACTCATTCTCTAATGAATACCAATTAAAATCAATACTGTTGCATATTAATGCTGTTGGAAAAGTCAAATGGTTCAGTCGCATTAAAAACAGTCTGGCAGGTCCTCAAAAGGTTAAATAGAGAAATTGTATGTGCCAGCAATTCCACTCTTAGGTACATACCAAGAGAAATTAAAACACAGACACACACAAATACTGGGCAAAAATGTCCATAGATTTTGCATATGAAATATCTAGAATAGACAAATCTGTAGAGATAAAAGGTAGATTAGTGCTTGCTTAGGGCTGGGGGTAGGTGGGTGGGCAGCAGAATTATGACTAAGGTGCACAGGTTTCTTTGGGAGATGACACAAATTCACTGTGGTGATGTTCACATAATTCTGCATATACTAAAGCCATTGAATTATACATGTGGATGGCATATGAATTATACCACACTAAAGCTTTTTTAAAAAAAATACAATAAAATGGTTAAAATTAAAAGGCTGACAATACTAAGCAATGAAGAAGCTATGAAGAAACTGGCACCCCCATACAATATTGGTTCAAATCCCAGTACCACTATCCCCTCAAGAATATAAAATGGTAGAGCCTTTTTGGTGGTTTCTTAAAATATTAAATACGCACTTAATGTATGACCCAGTGATTCCACATAAGAGAAATAAAAATATTTTACTTGCAAAAAAATCACAAAGATTCATAAGAATGTGCATCATCATTACCAGCAGCTTAAAACTGGACACAATATGGTCTACTGGTGAACAGAAAAACAAAATGTGATTTTCTATTAATAAAAAAGAAGGAACTGCTGACATGCAACATGGATGGGCTCAAAAACCTAATGCCAGATTCCTGAGCACATATTGTAGGATTCCATTTATAAAAATTTCTAGAAAAGGCAAAACTGAGGCTTTTACAGAAATAAATGTGGTGGTTTCCTAGGCTACGATGGTAGCAAAGACTGCAAAAGGACAGATAGGTCAAAGAACAGTTCTAAAACTGGATTCGATATAAATTTACTAAAACTCAAAGTGTACCCCTGAAATATGTGAATTTTATGGAATATGAACTACACTTCAATAAGGCTGTTTTTAAAACTCATTAAATTGAATACTGAAAAATTAGTGAATTTTAATAGATATTATACCAATTCACAATTCATCTGATTTTAAAAGAAAATATAACTTCAAATTATAAACTTAATGACATCTTGTTACATGTAACTCATAACTCACAGAAAAAAATTTAAAAGACTACTGCATATTCCAAAAGTAAGACTATATACTGACATCATATAAAAGACACTATTTGCTTGCTGGAGGTGTAACCCAGCATGTACTTAGCATACACAAGCCTTGGGGTTCACTCCTAAACATACCCACATGTGTATGTACCCAATTTACTCAACATTCAATTAATGCATAAATTTCAGTTTCATAAAGAAGAAAATATAAATTTCCATTCAATAGAAGTGACCCAAAGATCACAGAAGGAACTAATCATATCCAAAACAAAGTAAATACAGGTTGAAATTGAAATATAGTTGGGCTAGTCATGTAAGACATTAAGCCAGAAATTACTACTCAGTAAAAAAAAAAAATTTTAAACAAAAATAAGACTCCTTAATGTAGGGCATGGAGGCTCATACCTGCAATCCTACTCCTTGGGGGTAGAGATCAGGAGGATCAAGGTTCAAGTCAACCTGGGCAAAAAGTTCAAGAAACCCCATTTCAACCACTGGCTGGGCACTGTGGCATATACCAGTTATCCCAGCTACTTGGGGAAGCACAAATAGGAGAACTGGTGTCCAGGCCAGCACTGGCATAGAGTAAGACCCTAACTCAAAAATGACCAATATAAAAAGGCCTGGCGGAGTGGCTTAAGTGGTAGAATACCTGTTCAGCAAGTTTAAAGCCCTGAGTTCAACGCCTAGTACTGCCAAAAAAAACAAGATTTAACTGAAAAACTAGGTCCTTAAATTGTAGAACTAAGAAAACTTTCTTAAAGATTTATTTTAAGTCCAGTGCCAGTAGCTAACACCTCACTACATGGGAGGCTGAGATTGGAAGAATCGCAGTTCGCCTAGCCCAGGCAAAAAGTTCCAGCAACTCTATCTCAACCAATACCTGGACACAGTGGTGAGCACCTGTCATCCCAGCCATGTGGGAGGCTGAGATAGGGAGGAAAGGGCTGGAGGCAGGGCTCAAGCAGTAGGCACTTGCCTATAAAGTACAGCCTGGAGTTCAAAACTCAGTACTGCCCCTTCCCAAAAGAATTATTTTTAAAATTAAAAGCCATAAACTTTAAGTCAGTTGAACTTGTTTAACTCAAAAGGTACGATATTAAATTAAAGGACCAGTGCAAATGTCCTGAGTTTACTTTTGAGTGGAACGCCCTCACAAGTACTATAAGAGCATTTCTAAAACTCCACACAGTTGGTTTAAGTTTTATCATCCAGATAACTGCATTTCCAAAGCAGCCACTGCTTTTCACATAGCTTTAAACTAACTGTATTTAAAATAAACAATGCCAGATAAATTAGTAGAGGGGAAGCAAAAACCACCTTAATTAAAAAAACATCTGGCTGGGTGTGGTAGCGCATGCCAATAGTTACAGCACTCGGAAGACACAAGCAGGAGGATAAAGAGTTCGGGGCCAACCTGGAGCAAGACCTTGTGCTCACCAAAAAGAAAAAAAATTCTAAGTAAGAATTCAGTAACTAAAGATGTTAAAGAGGACCAAGGTTAACATATAACTTAATGTCACATAAATCAGCTGTCCTCATGGACAGAAATAAATGGTAAGATTCATGACAATCAGTTGGATATCAATACAGCAATGTCATAGGCCTGGTAGAGTGGCTCAAATGGTAGCGTGCCTGCCTAGCAAGCACGAGGCCCTGAGTTGAAATTCCAGCACTGCCAAAAAAACAGTATTAAAAAAACAAAAAAAGGAATATCATTAGTGTAAGACTTATCTTTCTCAGATGTAAACTCTCATAGACTTAGCACTTGCTGCATTCCTGGAGAAAAATTATATATAAAACACATCTACAACAGAAAGATTTAGTTTACAAGTTCCTATTCTCATCCTATGATTCCAGGCCACACAACTGCCTTGAGACAAAATTAAAAATAAGATAATATTGACAGAATACTGCTACGTTTACAGATTGTTAACCAGCTATGTACTGGTTTGATATAATTTACCAAATTATATCAAAGATTTATTTCCAAAATGGCTATTCATATGAGGAATGAAAGTGGACTCATCTCAAACTATATACAAAATTCAATGCAAAATGAATTAACAATTTAACTGTAAGACCAGAAACTGTAAACCAGTAGTAGAAAACATAGGGAGAAAACCATACATTAGTATAGGCATTTTTTTTTGGATTTGATCCCAAAAGCACAGACAACAAAAGCAAAAATAGACAAGTGGGATTACATCAAACAAAAAAGCTTGACATAGCAAAAGGAAACAAAAGTGTACAGAGACAACCTAAGGGTTGAAAAAAAAATTTGCAAGCCACACATTGATAAGGAGTTAATATCCAAAATAAATAAGGAGTTTAACTGACTAGACAGTGAGAAAACATAAAACTCAAAAAATGGCTAAGGGACCTGAATAGACAGACATTTCTCAAAAGAAGACACACAAAGGGGCAACAGATACATTGAAAAAAAAAAAAAAAAGCTCAACACTGCTAATCACTGGGGAAATGCACATTAAAATTACATTGAGATATTATTTCCTATCTGTCAGAATGACTTCTCAGAACAAGGAAATATACTAAGTGTTGGTAAGGATGTGGGATAAAAGGAGCTCTTGTATACTGTTGGTGGGAATATAAATTACTATAGCCATTATGGTGTCTCTGTGGAGACACCTCAAAAACTTAAAATAGAATTACCATATGATCCAGTATTCCTATTTCTGTGTATTTACCCAAAAGATTTAGTATCAGTTTGTCACAGATGTCTGCACTGTCATATATTCATCCTAGGACTATTCACAAAAGTTATAGAATCAATCCTAGTGTCCAACAAGAGATAAATCTGTAAAGAAAATACAGTATATATACACAACAGAATATCATTTGACCTTTAAAAAGAAAGACATTCTCACTTTTATAAACATGGATAGAATTAGAGAATATTATGCTGAAATAAGCCAGGCACAGAAAGAAGAGTATCACATGTTCTCACCTAGATGTGGCAGAGTGCAGAATGATAGAACCTAGAGGGTAGGTGGGAAATGATGGTCAAAATCTTAGACAGGATGAGTAGGAGAGGAATTCTGTACAGCATGGCAAATAAAGCTAATAATAGAGTATCATACATTGCAAACAATTGCTTAGAAAATAAATGTCAAATGTTTTCACCACAAAAAATGTTAAGCACTCAGGGGTTAGCTTAGCAGCAGAGTACTTGCCTAGCATGTGCAAGGACCTAGGTTGGATCCCCAGCACCATGCCAAAATAAAACAAAAAAAGGAAAATGAAAAAATGTTAACTCTTTGAGGTGATAGATATGTTAATTAGCTTGATTTAATTATCCTACATTGTATTTATATATCATAACATCCTTTTGTACCCCAGATACACAATTATAAACTGTCAATTTACATTTTAAAACAAAGAGTATTTAGTGCCTTTAAAAAATTTTATTCCCAGGACCATGTGATCAGAGAGCTGAGTGGACAGATGGCGGATTGGAAGTAAGCAGTGTCTTTCAGCTTCTCTGTGAGTGTGTTACTCAGAGAACACACTGAAGTTGACAGAGACATAGGTACTCTGGTTATCAGCCCTGAGCTCACTGCAGTCCAAGGGCATGG